TTACTCTATCGGGTTCCACCTGCACTGTCTCTGATTAAAATAAAGATGACAAAATAATTCAGTTTAAAAAAAAAAGAAGCATGAGGCATGATGTTGCTCTCTGAGTAAACTGAAAACAGAACTTACGTAGTATGGGTCCCAATAGTTGCAACCTAGGAAGAAGACATGAAAAGCAGGAAAGTAGTGAATCACAAATGTCAGAAACGATGATTTCTAGCTTAAAATGAACGTTTTGACCCTTGCACTCTTGACCCTAACTGCTAACCATGCTCTTAGCAGACTCCCAAGACTTATGTGGGAAAAATAAAAGGGGAATTCGTGCCATCACCATAATTCGTTTAACAAAGGAATACTTGGGCGTTATCAGAATTTAATAATTGAAATGCCTAAAGAGATATTCTATATATTTTTTGTGTATATATACACACATATATATATATATATATATATATATATGGAAATAAATGGGATTAATTGTGTTGGGATTCAGACCACTTATGTAACATTTCAAAGCATTTTACTCCCCTTTAAATGAAATTTAAACATATGCTGTTGTTTGTAGAGTATCTATGACTATGACACACCCCAGTAGTGTCCTTCCCAACAAAAAAAACTAACTCAAACCCAAAGATGTTCAATGTTACATGAGTGAGAGCCAAGTTGTCGCACTGACTAAGGTGCTAAAGCTCAAGTCTGTGTGTATAAAAAGCCTGGTCATTCACTAGATTCTGTATATTCAGTTTGAGATCATGTTTTTTTTAGCCTTGATACAATTATCCAAACCGAGCCCAGATAGTTTGCTTACTTAGACGGTGACAGACAGTTTATGTTGGCTGAAAAATGCTGGACCTGAAGCACGTTGGCAATCTAAAATGCAAAGTCTTCATACTTACACCAGCCCAAATATATTTTCCTGTCTACGCAGTGAGCAGCGATCCTGCAGTCGGATGGCGCGGTTAGATACTTTCTCTCATCTTCATTTAAGTATATAGGTGAAGGCAGTTCTAAACCATAACGACGGTATTTGTGAGGGTCCATCACGCAGGGTGGAGCTGTACAAGATGAGCAGAAACAAACCAGGTAATGATAAGGACACAAGAGAAGAAGATTGCATACTCAGATAGATCGGCATGAATGGAACGTTTGGCTTAAACACATCCGACTGTCGTATGTAACGTAATGGGAGACGCCCTCTTCCTTTTGATGATTATTATTAGTGGCATCCATTTTCCCATGATGCACACAGATGGAGTTGACTCAGCTAAGCCTGGCCCATTCAATAGTTTTGTCTCAATAGGTTGAGTCTTTTCCCAAAGTCTGTGCTCATCCTGAGGGGATCTTTTACCTCCACAGCCATTACTTTCTGACAAGGTCCGTCTTTATGTGCTTACATGTTGTTTGCTCTCTTTCTTCCACTGTCTTTACCATCTCTTAATCCCGTCTTGACCCATCAGCCCATCGAAATAGAGGCCATCGTCCTTGACTCTAGCTCTGACTGAGGTTAATTGCTTTGAAATGTGTCCCATTTTCGTTTCCCGGCGGAACTTTTCCTTAAGTTTCCCCTTTCATGGCTGTAAATTGGGGCGATATGAATAAAACAAAAGGGCCTTTTTTTGAACATCCGGCGGACTAAGACGGTTTGGGATGAGTTGGACCGAGGAGTGAGACGACAGCAGAAAACAGCTCCACCTGCTGGCCGTGCAGATCCCCTTATGCACGACGGGGCACCGTTCCAGGTTCTGGACCAGCAAGTGATGGTTTTTGGGCTGTCTGGCCTTCCTTCCACATATCCATCCTCACATTCGTACCGCAGCACAGACTGTGCCGCAAACACCTCCTTCGGCCCCTGATGAATGATTACAGCATGCGGAATCTCAGGAGGAACACCACAGGCGTCCCATCTCTCTGCAAAAGGAAGGTGTAGCACTTATCAAGCTTCTCTGTTTTTAAGAAAAAACATTTTTAAGGCTGTTAATATAGAGAAAGGCTTTCGGTGAAATGTTTTTGTTGTCGCAGTGGCCGAGCTTGGTTCGGATGAACCCGAATAACTTACTCTCACATTCGGGTAGAGCAGACCATCTCCCATTTCGACAGTAGGCAGTTGAGTGGCTGTGTTTTAGCTCAAATCCTCCGTCACATTCTACTGTAAGCATGTGATTGTCCTCATACCAGCCATTCTGGCTTCCTCTGTATTTACCGTTAGGTATGGTTGGTGAAAGGCAGGAGCTTTCATCTAAGAAAAGAAGTGAACAGGTCAATATTTTTCATGTTTGGCCACACAGAAAACGATTTGATTGGTTGATTTCACTCCTCTGAAATCAGATTTTGTCATTAGAAACGAGAGGTGTTCCAACACTCACACTCGAAAGAAATCAGGGCCTACAAAAATCTTACAGATGTAAACATTACATTGATGATAGAAGAGGAAAAATAAAAGTTGAAAGGGAGACAGACAACCGACAAACAGAAATAATAAGCCGAACATGATTTCTGACCAGCCAAAAGTTTCCCACTTTGCCTTAAATGACCTCCGGTCTGTTGTTTTACGTACAGTATTTTGCCGTTTGTAAAAGACTCAACAACCAAGAAAAATGATTGAACTATGAATATAAAACTAAAAAATACAAACAATTGCCCAGCAAGCATTCAGAAGTGAGCTCTATGCTATTGAGCCAACTCTTCTCCCATTTTAAAATGTAAATAACTGCAGAAAAATACGTATATTTGTCAAAAGGAAATAATTAGTGAAGTACTCAGAATTGAAAGGTGAAGCTTAATTTCTGCATTACAAAAATAATGATCTCTATAACACTCTTTAAAAAAAAATCAATTCATTGATTTTTATTTGCTTAGCACCAGCAAAAGCTAACAGATCAGGTAATGAACATGATGCATGCCAACTCGAAAGGAGTTTTTGCTGTTACTTTTGGATAGTTATGCACTATTTGTTAACAAAATGCTTATTTCCCCCACAGCTCACCGCTACCGTAAATGCAATGTACTGATATTGGTGTCTTGGCACTCCATCATTGGCATTTTTCTAATAAAGATGTACATCTTGAAGCCCAGATATTAAATGGCGTTGGCGTGTGCAGAGCTTTATCTCTCAAAGGCATTTCAATAAGTTATGCTCTGGACATTGTTGGGCTGTTTCTATCCTGATAAAGTGTTTATTACCAGCATCTGTTGTTAACCTGAAGCTATATTGCTGAACTATTTCCCTCTGGGATCAATAGTCACTTTCAACGATGCTTTCTTTTTTTTTGTGCAAATGATTTTGGAGCTGTCATCTGACAAAAGATGAGCAAAAAAAAACGCTAATTGCTAAAGATCTGATCTGAATAAGATACATACTTCACCGTTTAATTAATTTACATTTAAAACATCATCCAAAAATATTGTTACTCCTTCTATGATTTTTATGTGTTTGGCAGTGAGCTTTGAACCACAAACTCAGATAATCTCATAATAAAAAATGTCATTCCCTTTATATTTCAGGCTGCTCCTCTGAAAACCCACATTTTGACTAAACACTTACCAATGCACTGAGGCTCATGATCCCAGTTGCCATTTTTACATTTGCTTGTTGCCCACCATCCCTCCACCACTGGTTTATATCCAGTATCACAGGCATAAGTCAATGCTGTGTCATGAGGATATATCTTCTTTTCAGGGACAAAAAAGCCATTATTCAGGACAGGAGGAACACAAGACTGTGCTGTTCCTTGGCCTGAACAGAGAGAGAAAAAAACTTAAGCTGTCAAAATCAAACTGATGCTACAAATAAAGTCCATAGGATACAGAATCAAGTGTTCTTACCGTGTATATGTCCCCAAATGACAACCAGAAGCAAACATCCAAAACATTTCCCGTGCATTTTGTCAGGAATTCGATTTGCTTGATGAAGCACACCCAAACGGAGAGTCAAGCTTATTCAAGCGTTTGTTAATGATTGTTAAGGGCACAATGCCCCAGAGTTACAAAATGGGAGGAAAACAATCAATGAACTCGCACTGTTTCCAGGACAAAGTGAAGGATGACAACTGTCCAACAAATCAATACTCAAAATGGACACAGAAAAATAAGGGCAAATAGATCAAATTGAATGATTAGCAGTCTTCTTAGTCTACATAATAATACGGATATCAAGCATTATGACAATAATGATAATAGTAAAACTAATAATTAACACTGTTGATAAATTTGTATCTATACATAAGTAAATATTTATACATGTATAGATACACTTAATATGTAGATTTCTATAGGCATATATATGTATCTATAAATGCATTAATATCTCTACAAAATCTGCTTTGAAATTGTTGACTAAACAGTGATTCATTTAACTGGAGTTAAATGATTTCCAAATGATTCCCGGAACTGCTGAACTAAGAGGTCAAACGTACCAAATGTTGTGAAGTAAAAAAAAATTCCAACTTTGGTCAATTAAGTCAATTTCAATGTTGTCACCAAATACAAATTTAAAAGAGATGTTATTCTCTCATTTCTTTCCAGTCTAATTTCAGACGAAGAAGTGCTTCCCCCCTTTCATGAAAAAATCAAAGCCACTAAAGGGAAAATTTCACTCACTGACTTTGTGACACCTACATGCCACACCAGATGACCGAGGACCTGTTCCACGATTTGAAATGTGTTGTTTTTAAATCTTTTAAAGTGCCTCAGTTACTTATCTAAGGGCATCACGTGACATCGACATTTAAGATTCAAGAGTTGCCCTGAAAAAGAAAGTCAATTCACAAGGACCTCAAAAAGATGCATCAAATCACAAAGATCCCACCTTGAATTCACAATTCTAATAAATCACAAGGAAAATGTGACTTAGAGCAGAGAAATGATTGTCTGGACGCCAGGAAAATATCTTAATATCAGAAATATTTGCTGGAGGTGGAACAGCTGAAACTACGCTCGGATATTTGACCCTACAGGAATGATGTTGAATCTGAAACAGCCACTGGCCGACAAGAAAACGAGTCAATTTCTTTAATCTGGTCCTTTGAGTTCGTTTTTTTCCCCCCGAAATTTATTAAGATACAAATTCAATTTAAACTCAGTTTGTGTACTCAAACGATTTTATCTGCCGTCACTCGTTTCTTTTTGTTTTATTTCTTGGAATTGAAAAAAAACCTAATAACAGTTGCCCAAACGTTAAATGATATTTCCATGAACCAAAAAAAAAAAAAAAAAAAGACATTGTTAGCTTTTTGTGTGTGCCAGGCCAGTCTGCTGAGGTTTATATCAATTTCCTCCTTCCTTCACCAATTGATATTTAAAATGCCAACAACCTTCTTTTAATTTCTGTGTATGGGAGGGTTTGAATTATTTCCTAGCTTAATTTTTTTGAAAGTGCCATGGCTTTTTTCACTTAAAAATACAAGGTTTCAAAGAAGTAAATTATATCTATATATCTGTGAGATAACTTGTCATTTGGCGCTATACAAGTAAATTGAATTGAGACTGATAACTAACACATTTCCCTCAAGAGTAAAAATACATGTGGCTCCTTTTCTAGTTCTCAGTGATTTTGGCGACCTTCAGCACTTTGCACAGTTTTCCTGACATCTAAATAACAAGAAAACGCGTTCAGTCTAGAGGAAACGTTCAGCACAGCAGGAGATACACAAGTCTTTGTCTCTCAGAGGGCTTTATTGTCTATTTTCATGTGGTGACTTAAAGCAATATTCTCAATCGTCTCTCTCGCCTATCACGACACCAACAAAGAAGAAAAAAGGAAAAAAAAGAAAGACGGTCAAGGAGTCATTGCATGACCAATAAATGTGCCGGCCTCTCAGAAACGGGACTAGGAACTTACTGCTAGACTGAGATCGCTCGCTGGACCCGGCGCAGTGTCGTTTTTCAAACCTATGAACGGATCCGCGTCTCCCCGCGAACTGTCCTCGCTGCTCCGAGACCTCAGGCTCTCACGGGTTTTATCGTTTATGTACATTCAGGTCACTAACACGCAAAATAAAAGGTGTAAGAACCCCCTCCCCTAACTTGATGGCTGTTGTTTTTTTTGGTGCCAACCCCCCCCCCCCCCCCGAACAAAACCAGAACATCTCTCCTTCCAACGTCCCATTACATAGGTAAAATCTAAGTTTCCATCATTTCCACAGTCTGCTGCGTTTTTTTTAATTTTTATATTAAACACATTTTGGTATTTTTTTATAATTACCTGAAAACATTAGAAACCAGAACTAAATATGTGTGTGTGTATGTATATATATATATATATATATATATATAAAAAAAAGCATCAGATCCAGCAGTTGGCATGAGTCCATGTCTTCATGGCAAAAATGGGGCCGTCGGTGGAGGGCGGGTTATTGGCTGGGACGATGCAGATCAGCGGAGCTCTGAGTTTGGAGGCTGTGGAACCAAACGGTGGGATGTTCTGGGACAAGCTCTGGTCTGGGTCTCAGAACCGGAGGTGAGATTTATGTTTCACCATGTATCTGAAGGAGAAGGAAAAGAGAGACGCAGGGTTAGTGCCGGCTGAACGAGGGGTCTGTGTGTGGTGTCTGTGGACAAAACAAACAAACAAAAAAAAAAAAAACCTGTCAAGGGTTTCCCAAAAGCGCAAGAAGACGGGTCGGTCCAGGTGGCGTCGGTGGCGGCTCAGCTCCAGGACTGTCACGTCCCACTTCTGGACGTTGGGGTCCGTCTTTGCCTCGTCATACTTCAAATGAAAGGCTCGAACTGGACAATACAAAAAAAACAAAAAACCAAAAAAAAACAACAAAACAAACAAAAGCAGAAAAGATTCAGCTTGAATTCCTCTTTGGATGCCTAACGGCCCGTCTAAAAACCGTCGCTAACCGCAAGCGGCCGCTCACTTTTGGCGAAAATGTCCACTGGGGACCCGTCGGGCAGCAGCCACGGCCAGCCTTTGAACTGCCAGGCGGGACCCTGCACGAACACAGCCACCACTCGGTCCCTGCGGAGACACACACACACACGTCTGGCTCAGGAGCCACATTTGCCCTCTTTTCCATCCATTTCCCGGGCCAGGTCAGACCGGGCCTTAAAACTAGAGATGAGCTGACCAGATGTTAACATCTGCATCGGTCCCCATATTGGAATAAAAGAAAGTCCGGTATCGGTGACATGGGGATCGACCCGTAGAGGCAGAGCTATTCTGTCATAGATTATTTTTCTAAATCAAAGGACCATCCATCTGGGAATTACACCTCGGCCATCACATTCAACAGCTGCACTCAATACGTGCGCTAAAACTTTAAGCTATGACCCAACCAACTTAATCAAGCATCTTGAGAGATTTCGCCCTCAAGAGCCGACATACGTTCAACTGAATCGATTAAAAAAATAAAATACATTTAAAAAAAAAAATCGCCATGAAGCAGCCAACTTTAAAGGAGATGAAAAGAAGATGTCAAATGTTTCCGCCTAGTGTGCAGGCAAAAAAAATAAAAAATTTGTGTGGAAAGTTGTGTATTTATATATATGTATATGCTGTTGTATATCTGGAGTTGGTAACAAAAATAATTTTTCCGTCACATCTCCCTGATTCTGGCGCGGCCAGAGGAGCTACCGACAGGAGGTGGTTTTCGAAAAGGGGCGCGGCCGGTTGACCGACACCAAGCTGGGTCCCTTCGTGTGGGGAGAAACAAACGAAAACAAACCCAAAGCGTTGAGCCACAATGAGGGAAGAGTCAGCGGCCTGCTCACCAGTCCTGCGGCGCCAGCTTGAGGGGCTGGTCGATGACGCGGTAGGGAACAGTGACGCTCAGCGTGGTGCCGCCGGGCTGGATCTGGTCCTTGCGCCTCTGGAGCAGAACCTCGTTGTCGCGCTGGATGCCCTGCTTCTTCTTCTCCTCCGACGTGACGAACCTGGTGGCAGGCGATGCACACAGCCGGTTCTCAGCTCTCTCTCTCTTTTTCCTCTGAACTTCCGCTTTCAGAGTCTCATCAAGAGACATCCTAAACGAGCTTGTGGGCCGCTGCCGGTCCGTTAAATATTCAAACGCCTCTGCACTTGGGATTCCCGAACGCAAACGGCTGGCGCTTTTTCCTTTTAAAAAAGGGCCTGTACACAACTCCTTGAGGACAGAGAAATTTGTCCGGGCTCCCACGGCTACTGCCACTCGCCTGCTCTCAACACATCGTCTGGGCCGCTTACATATAGTATATACTTTTAGTATCAGTTGCCCACATATTTAGTCATGGTTTGCCGATTAACTTGAGTACATTTGACCAACTCCAGTTTCCCTATTTGCCTCAGACTGTGTGGGCGTTTAGCTGAGACGTACAATGGCAGACACAACATCAACCTGACCATCGCTAGTCAGATGCTCTCTGAAGAGCTGGTTCCCCTGCAGGTTCTTGAAGATAAGACAGGGACGCTCCTGTTTATGAAGCGCCCCATAGAGCTGATCAGCCCCTGTTAGCTTGCTGTTTGAGCTCATTCAATTTGTTTGAGTTTAGCAGTTACTTTGGGAATTTTTTTAAGCTGCGTTCTGTGGATTTCGACCTCTGTTTTGGAGCCCCACATTGCTTAGTAGGTTTTTGGACTCAGTCTGCAATTTTTCTGGTTTAAATGAATTTTTTCCCCCCCCAAAATGACCAGTGTCCTCATGCCCAACCAGCCTCGTGCGCAGTGTTGTACGAGAAGTTTAGCTCGCCTCGTGCCGGTGGACGTGAAACTTTCGATTTGCGCGCTTCCTTGTGTGGACTTTTGGGCATTTTTGCGTGGCTCTTTCAGATTGTGGCACCTAAACTTACTTCAGATCCTGCAGCAGGTCTTTAGCGTTGAGCATCGTGACGAGCGAGGTGGTGGCGGCCGGGATGATGATGATGGGGGTGCGCGACCCTGCAGACGGGGGCACAAACGGCGGGTCAGGGCGAGGAGGACGTTTGTGAACCGGGTTTTTATTTGGCACCCGAATAACATACCTTTCTTCTGATTTGGTGGAGGTCTGGCTTGTGACACTAGAGGCAAAACAAGAACAAAAAATAAATAAAAATAAATGAAAGAATAAACAGGAAAACGTGTGGACATGAAAACCATTTTCATGATTGCTTCTAGTTTTTATAATGCAGACGGTCAAGCTGTCTTCATGGTCTTATCATTTTTGCTCCATCCAAGACTGATGGCACTTTGTTCTCATGTTTATGGTGGCTGGGAACAGACATGTGATTCTGCTCTACCTCACAAAAAATATATAAATGAATAAAATAAAGCCCTCTTTGTGACATGTTGCTTTCCATTTATGTGGTTTGGTCACATGTCGCCGTCACCAGTGGGACCAATTTTCCCGAAACACTCGGAAAACCAAAAAACTATAATAATATCATTTTGGGTTTGAGTAATTAACACATGGGTTGACGTTATCCTGATTAGAAAAAGACTCTGTGCCACACCAACCTGGACGGGGCACGGGCTGCAGAGCTGGGGTCTGGGCTTTCCGAGCAGATGCTCCTTCCTGGGGAAACACAGCACTCCAAGGTTACCCATACAGACAGATAGTCTTTGGTAATAAAATCTAGGATAAGTAACATCAGGAAAAAGGCCTTCAAAGAGGG